ACATGCCACGCTCATAATGCGGCCGCGGCTATTTCGCTAGTTTCACATATACAAAGTTTGGTATTACGGAACGTGAATAGATGACGAAGGTATCATACTCGTGCAAACATAATAAGCATCAGATGTGTGCAATGTAACAACATGTATACATGCCACGCTCATGATGCGCTCACGGCCGTTCCGCTAGCTTCACATATACCAAGTTTGATATTACGGGACGTGAATGGATGACGAATGTATGTGAGTGGTGAAAACATGATAATTATGAGATGCGTGTCATGTAACAACATGACTACTTGCTACGCTTATGATGCGTTCGTGGCCGCATCGCTAGCTTGACATGCACCAAACTTGGTATAACGTGACGTGAACGGACGGCACAGGTAAATGACACACCCAAACGTGATATTAATGAGATGCGTCCAATGTAACAACATTTAACAACAAGACAACATACCATGGTCATGATGCGCTCGCAGCCATTGTGCTTGCTCCACATATATGAAATTCGGTATCATGTGACGTGAATAGACGACGAGGGTAAATAACACGTCCAAACATGATAATCATGATATGCGTGTCTTGTAAAACTTGACTACATGCTACGTTCATAGCACGCTCGCGGCCGTTTCTCTAGCTCCACATATACCGAATCGGGTATCAGGTGACGTGAATAGATGACGAAAGTAAATGATACGTCCAAACATAATAATTATGATATGAAAGAAATGTACGGCATAATCTACCTCAGCCTCGTAACGTTGTGCTGATGATGAAGTGACATATCATCCTTCCACGTTCGTGCTTCGCATATCTTCAATTCCCACTGTACATGGGTTCTGTCATTTTTTAAGTCTTAGCTTGTCATCGACTATACATACCGAGTGACCAAGCATTTCATCGCTTAAGGCAGCACTTACTCGCTGTCGCCGAAAGGCATGCCTGAAGCTTCAAACTTCACTAAATATCAGGCGTCCTCTTAACTGCGGCGGCGATGACAACGCTCACTTTGCACGGAAGTGAGGCGTAACATGAAATGATGAGAAATATCGGCCCGACTCCCGCATCAACAATGAAATCCGCCCGCTGTATGACATTGGATCCTACCGCCATCTTAACTGACGACGCGGTTCACCGTTCCGCACAAGCGTCCGCGTACGTGAGAGCCGCGCTGGCCGAATCATGGCCACACCGCGAGGCCGCGCACTACGATATTTCTCCTGAGCGTAAAACAGACTGCACTCAGGAAATACTGTTCTTGTCAACGAAGGGAAAGCTACAGGGGCGGAACTATAGTCACACGTACTCCTCCGCTTGGCTCTGGTCTCAGATGAAGGCCGTGTTCGAATCATAACATTGATATCATTTGCTTCATCTTTTTACACAGCCATTCGTAAGTGAAATTCGTTACCCGATGTTTCGGCAAGCTGTCGAATTACCTGAAGAAAGGAGGTAGCTCTCCTAAAGACGAAGACGTCATTTGGCTGTGAAGTGCGCGTAAAACCTGCAACTTTTGCACACGTACAAAAAAATTGGCACCATATCCACGAACTGAATGATGGACAGGGAGCGAAGCATTCGTCCGACCATTCGTTCTTGCTTCCGTCCGTCCATGCGTCCGTCTGTGTGGCCGGCTGTGCGTCCATCCGCCCATCCGTGCGTGCGTCTGTTCATGCATCCGTCCCTGCGTTCGTCCATGCATCCGCCCCAGCGTCCGTTCATGCATCCATCCATGCGTCTGTCTGTGTGTCCATTCGTTCATCTATTCAACACTACAAGTACCACCATCTCGCATCTTTTCATCATATATTCCCCATATAGAAGCACCGCCATTCAGTGGACATTCCAAGGACTAAACGAGAGGTGGCACACGCACACTTCTTACGGCTTGCGCTTCGGGTTTACTTCCCACTTTTAACCACCTCGAGTTCATGGTATATACTAGTTCACTGTATTCATAGCACTGCGGCCCAATGCTCTCTAAAGCTTTCTAAAACTAATGAGGCTACGCCCAGCGAGTATAACGTAGCAACCTTTTCTTGTCAGATAGTGGTCCATGTACACGTAAAAGGCTGCTAATGGGAAATAATAGACAGGAGTATTCAGCTTTTACTTTCTAACGACTTGCGCTTCGGGTCTACTTCCCACCTTTGACCACCTCGAGTTCATGGCATGTACTAGTTCACTGTATTCATGGCACTGCGGCCCAACGCTCGCTAAACCTTTCTAAAACCAAGGAGGTTACACCCAGCGAGTATGACGTAGCAACCATTTCTTGTCAGATAGTGCTCAATGTACATGCCAATGGCTGCTAATGGAGATCGCAGCGTGCGCGTTAACTAAAAGCTGAATGCTCCTGTCTCTCATTCCCCATTAGCAGCCATTAGCATGTACATTGAGAACTATTTTTTATTGTTCAAGAAGGCACATAAGAAATCTCTCACCGGCACCACCTTGGGGCTAAAAATGTTATACTTGTTACACACTACACTGGTTACAATGGACGAACGGGTGCCGCTATAGGGAGCTTCGCCCGTAAAACGCGAAATGACAGCACTGAAGTAAAAGAAACATGAATATATCCTTAGTGCATATTGCATATCTTCCTAAACATCATGCTGTACAGTATAAACTTATGATCTTTTTTTATGTTCTCACACAGGAAACACGGACGCACTTGTGCGGCTATATTTTGCAATGGTGGCAGGCACCTAGTTTGGCTCCCTAGCCTTTCCTTCATTGCCGAGAAAAAAATGTCCACGAGTATAGCCTAGCAAGGTTGTTTTTTGTTCATGGCGAAATTTAGAAAATCCTTCAACACATTGGTGGCAACGAACATGCTTTTGTCTCATAAATACTATTGCTTTATTTGAAGCTCAAAGTTGACAAAAAATGGCCGACAGCGTCACCAAACAACGATGCGGTTTAATATACTGTCAGGGAGAGAAATAATCGCGGGTAGACTCAATTCTTTCAAAAACAAACATATGCCATTTAAACTGTATTTAAGACACTTGAGGCAGCTTTCGCTTGTGCCAGATGGTAATTCTCATTTTTTTCTCGCGAGTTCAAAGACGCGCCCGGTGGCGATGCCGGCTTCGCATACGCCTGCATGCAAGCAAGTCTGTGTACGGCAGAAAATCATAGGCACTGCCTCCAGCAGCGATAATTACAACAGCAACAGAGAGTCTTCAACGAAATTGAGTGCGATTCACCTCAGCAATTTTTCCAGCCGTGCTCGTGAGTCCAACAAAATCTATTAACCGTGCGCAAATGCTCGTGCGTAGTTGCCACGTCAATATTCAACAAGGTTCTACAATGAAGAAGATTTCGCCATCACGCTTCGCTTTACCGAGGAGTGCATATCGGCTGTCATATAAAGTATGCAACCCAGAACATCTAAACATAACTGAGAACACTTTAACGAGTCATAAAATGTAATATAAAATTGCTCCGAATATAAAGAAAACAGTTATGAAAGAACACTTGACTGATAACAAGTCGTATTGAGCTACAGCATTCACACCCACAAATATGCGTGAGGGTTGTTTCATACAGTCATTGCGAAAGGCGACAAATTTATCACATTCGGAAACAGCCAATGATTATACATTGCTTAACAAGTGATTTGTTGTAATATAGCACACAGAAATATGGCCTAAAGCTATTTAATTTATTCTAGAGCGCAGCCTGCGGGCGCCTCTCCTCCGCTTAATGGCTTTGCCGTAGCCGTTGCCGTCGGTGGTTAACACATAGTTATTGAAAAATCAAGTGACAAAAACGCGGGGCTGCATGGTATTTAAACGCTGGCCATCCGTGTGGCCCACAAGCATTTTACTACAGAGCCACGTTGGTGCTTCAGAATTCTTCGCTACATTACCATAGACATACTTATGAAAAAGTTTAATGTATATAAATAGAGACTAATGTCGTTAGACACCAGAAAAAATAAACTGTCTAATGATAGTCTAATGCGCTTTCTATTGCGTACCTAATGTGATTCTAGTAGTAATTGGCCACCGTTAGCCTATACAGCTCTCACGCAGGAGTTTCTAATGCAGACCTGATGCATGAGTTTCTAATGCGCACCTGATGCACGAGTTTCGAATGGGCACCTGTTGCATGAGTTTCTATAGCACATTGGTCACCGTTAGTCTATAGAGCTCTCACACAGGAGTTTCTAATGCGCACCTGATGCAGGAGTTTCTATTGCACATTGGCCACTCTTAGTCTATGGAGCTCTCACGCTGGAGTTTCTAATGCACACCTGATGCACGAGTTTCTATAGCACATTGGCTACAGTTAGTCAGCAGAGCTCTCACACAGGAGTTTCTAATATGCACCTGATGCATAATTTTCTATAACATATTGGCCACTGTTAGTATATAAAGCTTTGACAAATGGTCATCTGGTGCACGAGTTATAACATATGGCCATCGTCAGTCTCTAGAAATTTGACACAGGAGTTTCTGTTGGATGCTCTCAAGTGACTTTAATAATGCGTTTTCATAGATTGAAGACCTTATTACATTCCATGTCCCAAAAGGAGATCATTGCACTTCTATAAAACTAACAATTCGATTTTCTCACTCATTCAATTGTGAATGCCTGTAAACATCAGATCTTATGCACTATAAATAACCAATATGAAACTGCACACAGCAATTAATGATGATATGTACAATGCAGCAGAGAATTTCCAGTCATCGCTATCCATATGTAGTCAATGTTCTGCACAAAAAACCATCTACCCATGACAACAAATCATTTCAAGTTATCTGAGGCACTGCAAAACACTGATTGTTGTGTAGCAATGGAACACCTATAAGCTCAACGCAGGGGATAATAGATAGTCTGTTCATTTTTATATCTTCAACAAATGTGCAGAGTTATGATCACAAAAGAAGTAACACAATATCACAGGCTTACTTGAAAATATACAACTATTTAATTTCTCTACTGAGCATAGGCGACAAGCTGTTCTTCAGCTGAACAGTGCTTGTTGTGTAATTGCTACATGCGTACCCTGCAAAAAAAGCAGTACAATTTCAGCACAGCACTGAAGCATAAATTTTCTCAATACTACTTTTCTATACTCTTTAGTGTAGCACGTGAAAATATGTTCAAGTTTGACAAATGTCAGTTTCCTTTATGGTCAGCATATTTTTATAAAACAGCAGAACAGTTTTCTTCAATTCTGCTTTGTTAAATACACTAAATGTATGCAAGTGATTAAAGAGATCAGACACCCTATGCCAACTGTCCAGAATAATATGCTAGATGACCTCCAATTTTATTTTTAAAATAGTATACATTGTGCCCCCGTAAAAACTTTGACTCGCAAAGTTTGTCTTTAACTCCCTAATTCAATAATTTCTGCGCTTTTATGTGCAAAAGCATATTATTGTGAGGCACACCACAGTGGGGATTTGCGAATTTCAACCACATACAGCTCTTTTGTGTACATCTCAATCTAATTAGGTAGGCCTCTAGCATTTCTTTTAGCAATTGAGGGCACACTGCATTGTACAAATGAAACTGCACTGCATCATGGTGGAGGAAACATTTGAAAACTTTTCATTACCTTCAGATGTTACAATATTTACACTTTTACAGTTGGCATTAATGATTTAATTACGTCAGCAAGGTTACTGTATTTTTTTTCTTTCACTATGCCTTCCTGCATGCATGCCCGGGAAGGGAGTAGAACGGCCATTGTTTATCAGACTGTTCATTCTTCACGGAAAAAATATGGCTCATAGCAGAACTGTGAAAAGTCTGAGTAGGGTAGAATGTAGGTATGCAAATATTTATGGCACTGCCACTTCATTTCATTTCTGGTATTTCCTCTTATGAACGATAGAAGTGCAGCCTTTTTCTAGAAGTTTTGCATTTTTCTAAAAGGACACTATAGATTACAGCAACCCAATACAGATGTTGCATAAATGCTAAACATCTTGAAATATTTCACTCTGCTTGTCTATATTAGGCTGCTGTGGTAGAGGTCAAATTTCCAATCCTCATGGTTTACAAGCGTTTACAAGACTACAGTAGCAATGCATCTTAGCAGCTAGCTTATTGCAGTCACAATGGTAAAAGACACGTAAAAGTTTGATAAATTTCAGAAGTTTATTTGATATTGAGAACAAAATGTTTTATTTTGAGAACTAGCATAAACAGCTGGGTTCGATTTCACAATACGCTTTTACGGTAGGGGCACAAACTAAATTGATGTGCACTGCCCTGAATTACAAGAGGTAGGTTAATGAGAACTAACGAAGAAAAACAAGCCCTTAAAATTTCCTCTTCTTTCCTTCAAGAGGTAGATCAATTTTCACACATTTTTTCCAAGAACAGTAAACCTAATCTATGGTATTTATGAAAGCGTGCAACACTGCCAAAAAATGCGACTTCTGTACACAGTAATATTCTGTCTGCAATACTGGAAATAATACATACCAATAACTGCATTTAACCACACCAGATCAAGGGCCTCCTTCATCGGGACCTCTTTGTGTTTGTTGCAGCCCCTTCCATACAAACTCTTCCCTTTGAGCTCCTCTTCAGTAAAGAGGTGTCGCACCAGGTTTCGGGCGAATTTTTTCGGCAGCCCATGGCAGTGATTGTGCAGCCGATCCGAAAGTGTTTTTTTTTTTTTTCAAACAGAATGCCTTCGCCAATGTTAGCCTGCATAAAACAGAACAAGTTGTAGGATGTTATATCGCCAGTTTTAGTTTGAGTAACACACAAAAATATTGCTACCATCACAAAATGGAATGAAACATATTTCGAATAGAATAATTAATCCAGAAATGAGTACTGGCATTGCAGTGGTCACACGTCTTTTAAAGGACTGCCCAAAAATATGGGACAGCCAGGAACTAAATAAAGAAAATATAGGATACTGCATTGAATATACACTACTCGCAATAAACGAAACATGAAGGGACAGGGAAAATATGTTCCATCTAACAGGAAATTTGTTTACTGAGGGGCGAACTGGGTTACAGCATTCAACTATGAAACCAAAAATGTCTGAGACAGTTGTCTTATATAATCAGCAGTTTCACCTAACAAAATTCCATTTATTGAGTCCACTGCATTGGACTCAGTAAATTTTCATTATGTGGGTAGTGTTTAGAAAAAGTACCCTACACAAAAACACTTTTCATATTTTGGGGGCAAATATACTTATGGCGCGCTCCACTGAAAGCTCATCTTGTATATTGATTTCACAGAATTGTAATCATGCACATTTATTACGATATCCCCATGACACTTCAGCATCGTGTAGAAAAGTAGTAACAAAAAGCTTATATGTAATGCTTTTCGTCCTGAATATTCCACATAAAGTAAGCTGCGCTTCATTAAAGTAACATCATAAGAAAACTGGTTCTTTTTGCTTGCTTGGTCACTGCTAATATGTTTACCTACCATATTGTCTATGATGTCATAGTTTACTTGCCTTTTAAGGCCCAAGCCTTAAAAACAACATTGCTATTAAGCTGGCTGCTGTTAAGCGGGGAAACATAGCTATATAGCGTAGTAAATGATGTTCTGCTTGTTCATTTTTTGTCTGTATTCTGAAAGTACATGTTGCTACTAAAACTGCATTTCTGGGGTGTTCAAATTTTTACACTACTTAACGTAAATTGAGGAGGAAATGTCTGATGAACAGTGTGCAACTAACTCCTTTCTTCTTGACTCGTGCCATTTGGCACTGCGCCGTACTCCCGACCGGGATGCAGAAGTTAGGTGCCTTTTCTCATCTTCTAACCACTACCACCACTCGTGCCATCTTGCGTGAATGCATCCAAACGGTCTCACTTACGTACTGGCCAATCTGAGGATATCAAAATTCAGGATTTGGAAAGCGTGTAGAACAGAGACATGATAAGAGAAAAATGGCACATTTTTATAGTTTCTCGCAACCACAGAAACCAGACCGTATCTGGGGTTTTAATTCCCGATACCATGACATTGTTATGAGGGACACCGTAGAGGAGGGCTCCAGGAACTTTACTTTCAGTCAAACGCTGCTACCACAGCCAGGATGGAACAAGCGATTTTGGGTAAGCAGCCGAGCAGCGTAACTGCTACACTGTGAATGTCACAGAATGCTCTGAACGAAGTTTTCAGATATTTGCAATCATGCTGGTACATGGGGCACGCGCAAGTGTGTAACTATCCGACAAAACATTATGTGTCATCTTACAGCTGGTAGCTCCTTCCTAATATTGGTACACCTTCCACATGACAATAATGTGCAGCTGTAAAATAGTCAAGTTATATTTTTAGGTTACATTTAAAAGCGACAAAGAAAGAAAACTGGTATGAGACACATCCTAGCAGAACACTCTCGAAGCTGGATCACGGAGTTATTCACTTTGCTGTACGGTGTCCGATTATTTCATGCACATCATAACTATTTTTCAGAATAAAGCATCTGTATTATCCATCCCTGCTCAGTTTTGTACTATTTTTGAGGCAAAACGATTTGCACGCTAAGAAGCGGTGCTGCCTTCACATGCATGCATCACAGCTTTACATGTTTCACTAGTGGCAGTGGAGTACACACCTGCACAGTAAATCGCCACACATAAACACGAACTGCTCTGGCGCTCTCCTCTCGCAGTTTGCAGCATGTTTTGTGCGGGCAGATTCATATCGCCGCAGATGGAAAAATTTGAGTAAGTTTGTTGTCAGTGCTCTTTTAAGAATTCGACCAAAGTCATTTCATCGCAGCCTCTGAAGCATCTAATATCCACCAACTTCAAGCAAAAATTTTTATTATAAGAGCGGGAGTGGTTGCCTTACGTTTAGGGAAATCAAGATACAGTTATTTATGTTTATTTATAATGTTCGGCAATATCCAACTGAAATATTGGTCTGTTTTTTTGCAGATATCAATAAGTTTATCTATTCCCATGACTTCAGTTGATGAAAAATTTATCAGTCACTTCTTTATAATGTGCCAAATCTATCTGATTGCAACGTGAGGGGAGACTTACACAGCATACAGAAAGAAAAACTAAAAGCTTGGTATTCAATTGCAACGTGAGGGCTAACCTTAGGTTAATAATTTGAAAAAAAAAAGCTCATTTTAAATAACTTAGCTGAATCAGGCTTTGTTTGATGCTTTCATTTGAGTATTGCAAGCGCAATCTATGTAAATTTTGCATGCGCTCTGTTTGCAATCGAAAAGCAACTGCTTTTATAGCTTCAGTGCTTTAAGCACAATGTATGTCTTCACCGTGCGACGTAGTGCCTGCCATAGGTCAGCAAAAGAAAGTAACACTCACCCAAACTCACTCAAGAAATATGTCTCAGACAATGATTAATTATTATTTTTGTAAACCTGGCTCACTAAACCGCAGAACTGCCTGGCTCACTAAACCGCAGACCTACCAAAGTTTCCTAAGCCAAACTCCCTCGTGATCAAGCTAAACTTTTCTTCAACCGTACTCACTTAGACTAAGCCCCTTATTCATAAACGCTCCTTAGCTTCAACTGGACTTAACACCACCTTCAATGCGGCACGTTTAAAATATGTATGTGCGTTTGTGCCGCCCTGGCAGAGTCTACAGCAGCGCATTCCAAACAAGTTCGTGCTGCATTGAAGGCGACGGCAAGTTAAGTTCAAATCAAGTAGCGTTTATGAATACAGGGGTAAGACTCACCAAAATATTACTCCCTCGGACTCCCTCAGACTTGCGGCTTGATCTAAGTGAGTCGACTCATGAGTTCGATAACTGTAGTGCCAGCTCTGATAGCTTTGTAGACAAACAGACAGAGTCCCGATTCTCTGGCATAGAATTAAATACAGGTTTTTATAATTAATTGAACATGTTTGACCAAAATTTACTCAAAACATTAAGCCAAATGAAGGCTTAGTGTTTAATTTTGACACGTTCTCCAAGATCAAAATGTGGTAAACTTGAGAAGCAAAACTCAGACAGCAGTATACTGTGAAACCGTATTATTTGACAAATCCCCCAGGCCACTGGAACTGTGTAACTAGTGACAAATTTTGACCACACGTTGAATAATAATAAAACTAGTGTGCCCTGCATGAACCCTTCTGGAATTCAATGACAATGAATAGTACTTATCTTTTCGTGTAATCAATGTAATCAAAAATGGCCTAATAAAGAATATGCTCATATTTCATGTAATAATACATTAGACTCCTTTTGAACGAAACCTGAAGGGACCAGGAAAATGTGTTTCCTTTCGGAGGAGTTTCGTTTACTGAGAGATAAATAGGGCTTTAATATTTAAGTAGTAAACCCAACATATTAGGGGCAGTTGTTCCATTTAGGCAGAAAATTTATTTAAAAGAGTTTTCTGTTTAATAGGAGTTTACTGTACAACCACAACTGAGTGATAGACTATCATCTTACAAAAGCCTGTGAATCGAAGCAGATGACTAACTCATAAAACGCTATTACCCATTTTTACTCAATTTAACATATATTTTCACTCAACATAATAATGTAGTAACACAGTGTATACAAGTATCAACAGAAAACATTATATAAGCAGTAGGGTTAGTAGTAATTGTTTTTGTTTGCACGGGTACGCACTGCACCTGCTACATTGTCACATCGGCCACCCTGAACATTTAAGCCAAAGACATTAAATCAAGTATTTACCAGCTAAACTGTCCATAAATAGTCGACTGCTGAAATGAACTCTGCATAAACTTAATGTTTCAACTAAAACGATTGGTATGTGGTGATGCCTCACTCTATATTTGCAATTTTCGCTTTTTCCCTTCCTCTCAAACCTCACTACCTAATTAGAGAGCCTCGTCATATTATTCAGTACATGCAATTAGCCTTCAGCCTTGATAAAATTGTGCTACATGCAAGCTCCCATGTATTTCTTGTACCATGAGCTCTTTCTACGGAGCAAGCATTCCACAAGCAGTTCACTGCAAAGTCATTGTGCTGCAGTTCACAGCAGAACATACACTTGAATTTTCAAGTGGCCGTTCGCAAGACTGCATGCATGTCTATGCAGCTGGGCAAAATGGTCGCTGCAAACAGCATTGCAGTGCGACCATTTAGGTATGAGTAGTTTACAACTTGCTCGTTTCACCAGTGAATCAAGGAAACGTTTTTGAGATGAGAACGCAAATATTGATACTTTAGAGTTCTCTTTTGCTGCACTGACCCATCTGGTTCAATGACCACTAAAAAAGGCAGTCTTAATTTAAACGAGAATTTTAAGCAGCTGCTGCCTTGTTTTTCCCCCTCTAAACCACAGCAGAAACGGCATCTTCGCACACATTCACTGAAAATTATGCAATTCTTGCTAGGATATAGCAGGTTTCACATTTCAGTGCAGTTTGGCACAAGTGGCACAGCAATCGTATCACTGCAGTATTTACTCGCACCAGAGTTGATAAGTGCAAGCTCAATGTCTTCAAAATCAATGTTAAACATAAATTGATGATACCAACAAACTATGAAGTCAACGTAAGCATAGGGGACATTATTTGTAGTATTTTTACCTGCAAATGGAAAATAAAGGGAAGTAGCCAAAAAACACGTTTCCAATTGGTGGGCCCCTACAGCGAAGGTTATGGATTTGAGCCCCACCAATAGCAGAAGTATTTACTGCGAAGGTTCTTTATTCTAGCCTCACCAATAGCAAAAGCAATGCTTAGTCCACTAAAATTAATGTTTTTCATTGATGTCAGAACTTCATTACAGTTAAAAACAACAAATAATATTTCTTATGCTTTTTTAGGCTTTTTGGTTTGTTGGCTTCATTAAGGTCTGTCTAACAAAGAAACAAGCCTTTTGAACCCTTCTTTTGCTTTCATTCTTCCAATTCCAGTGTAACAGTGAAAAAAAAGTTGATAATTGACATTACCTTTTATAACTAGAGATATGCTTAAACTCTACGTGAACCAAGCCGTTGTTGTACGTGTATGCACAAATGTGCTTTTAAAACAAAACCTACCTTTTCGGCTTCGACAAAAGCCTCCCTTGGCTGCCCGAGAAGATTCTCCAGCCGACACACCAGTTTCCTAGATTTTCTGTAGCATGGTAAGGGAGTCTGAAGCAGGCTGAAAAAGAAAAGGCAAGTTATTACCCCTGTGTAAAACTGAAACTTATAATAACAATAACTTTATTTGCATCTTTGTAAAATACATACGGCAAATTCGGCGAGCAAATACTGCCGTATTTACTCGCATATTGATTCCACTTCTGAATCATGTCACCAAAGTTTTTTTATCTCTCTCTCTCTCTCTCTTTTTTAAACCTGTAATGACTGCACCTCGAACTTAGGCACTGGCACTTATTTCTGTAATGATGCCATATGTTCACAGTTTCGGGAGGTGGCCACTGCGCAAAAAAGCGAAGTCGCACGTTGCTTTGCACTATTGTGCAAAAAATTCGGTATACAAATCAAACGTGCCTTTGAAGACTGTTGAGTATGCACTCGAGGACAGAACTGCCCCACATCATTTTGCCAATGGTGAAATTGAATGCACCGGCATGAAGTGACAAAAAAGGTGGTTCATGCCTGCCTTTTTTGTCCAGTATTCATGATTGCTCGTGTAGATGCCCAGCAATATATAAGGCGATTCAAGCAAAGCCAAGTGAATGTGTCCTTTCAATGCAATGAGAGGCCTTATAACGCCTATCCCTTTGGTTATGCATACGTTAGTCACTGTTAGAAGTGCAAATTGAAAGAAGGAAGGAAGGAAAATAACGCAAACTGCAGCTGTACTTTTCACAATAAATTTTACTCACATAATAATCGCACTACCAAGCGTCGGGCGATTCTTCCGAAAAAAAAGGTGCGATCATTTCACGAGCCAACACGATGTACTAAATGAAGAATCTCCAGACAATGCTCACTACACAGCCTACTGTGTGCGTTGTCGTACATTATGCTATTCTTCCTTAAAAACATGATTATCGTGCCAAACTAAATGACTAACAGAACATATGTAACACAAAACTCTAAATCCATGCATGCATTAGCACCACTGCGGAGATAATAAAAGGCTGTCACCATATCAGCTCCAAGAAAAAAATTTCAAATGTGCATACACCCCGGCATCATACTCACCGACTTTCCTTAGTTCTCGAGCACAGCTTCCCTTTTGGTAATACTTGAGCGTTAAAAGATTAGTTTTTATATGAGGACATCATTGATCCCTATGATACAATGTCAACTCTATCATGAAAGACATTAATTCTGTCCATCTGGCATTCTCTAACCTACATCTAAATCGACATTTTGCTTTTTACATTTCACTGCTATGGACGTGTGATCAATGCAGTTGGAAACAAAACATAAGCATTTGCTTAGAAAGGGAAAGAAGACAACCACCCGTTTGTAGCACGAAGCCACAAGGACGGGTGCACACTAGTGGGGAGAGATGCGCGCTGGTTTTACCTTTATCAGACAGATAACACGCAGAAGCCGCATCTTTTCACTTTGTGAGCGTCATCTGAAGGCTGCAAAGAGAAGGCTGCAAGGATCAAAGGATAAAGAAAAGGCTGCAAGGATCAAACCTTGCACACATTCACGGCTATGTCTAGACACTGGACGCTTAATGTCAGACAGCACGGCGATACAGTTTCATCTGATTGTGGCCTTCCCTTGCACCTCCCGACTTATATTGCAAACAAGTGTACATTTTTTTCTCTGTAAGGTGGTAGATATACATGAATCTTGCTTGGCACTTCTGCCATTTTTTAGCCTTGCAAATGCGATTTAAAAGCTGCAGCACACGTGAGGAATGCCATCAGCCGAGATATATTTAAAAAAGATGTTGGAGTACTGCAAGATCCCGAGCAATCACCCCTAACTGAGCAAGTACCCCATCTCTTTTTCGACAGATTTAAAATATGCGCCCCTTTCTCTCCTCCCACATTTTTCACTGTTTCATTCATTGTTTTTATTCACCTCACGATGAAAAAAAACAGTAATGCATGTGTACCCAATAGAGCATTGCACTAAAAGCTCGGGTGCACATTCTCTATATTTAGCGGATCTTTTGTCGCCATGTTGAACCCGCATATTTCATGATGCCATGGAGCATACACCCTTCCCCAACAAGATAGTCCCATGACATCATTGACTCTCACAAGCTTTTCGTCAAACAATACTGGTTGTCCCGGCTCCTACCAAAACCCTACCAACGCGCCAGCAAAGGTGGTTAAAGGTGGGAAGTAGACACGAAACGCAAGCCGTAAGAAAGTGTGCGTGTGTCTTCTCTCGTTCAGTGCTTGAAATCCGCTGGATGGCGGTGCTTCTATATGAGGAATATATGATGAAAAGATGCCAGATGGTGGTACTTGGTGTGTTGAATAGTTGGACTAACGGACACACAGAGAGACAGATGCATGGACGGACGCACGGATGGCTGCACGGACGGATGGACGCATGGACGGACGCAGGAGTGGATGCATGGATGAAAGCAGGGACTCACGCACAGATGAACGTGCGGACGCACGAACAGACGCACGCACGGACGGGTGGATGGATGCACGGGCGGCCACACAGACGCATGTATGGATGGATGGAAGCAAGAACGAAAGGACGGACGGATGCTTCGCCCCACTATCCATCATTCGCTCCGTGGATACGCTGCGATTTATTTAAACCTTCCTTGATGCGGCACAACAACTGCCACCCCCTAACTTAAGTTTCTTATGGCGCTTAAGGAGAGGCATTTTAATGTTGGAATGCAGTGTCTACTCTTGTATGAGTGAGAACCAGCCCTTGAGACATACCGCTGCCTTGCAGTGTGCTATATCCGAAAAAAAAATATCTGTAATAGCAATTTTAAATAGGACATGGTTTAAATACGTGTGGATGACATTGGTAAAATAAAAAAGCAACTAGTTACGTCTGCTTCTTCAAGAGCATGCCTCAACTGAAATTCCCACCTAGCGCCACATACAAGACTGGTTGAAGAAACAAGAAGAAACCTTCGGTTGAAAGTTTGCAATCTGCAGACACAGGAGGTCTTAATTTTTTGACGGCCTAACCTCATGCGCTGGGCCGAAAAAGAAATCTAAAAATAACATGCCCTCTACTATAGAAAATATTGCCATAGGAGTCGGTTACTCAATGTAGCGTGATTCGTGACGTCATCGCTGGCTGCGTTACATGCCTCTTTGGCTGCTTTAAATACTGATCGCTGCTGAAATTGGATTGAGTTTGAGGTGGTCCAGAATGGGCCATCTCTCACAATCGCTAGATGGTGTTCTTATTACAGAAGGCCATTGGTAGCCGCCGCAACTCGAGCTACGTCTACTAGAGCCTTGTTATGCCATCGAGTCCACATCGAACATCCATGCCTTTGAAAAAGGCAATCTGTGTCAAGGCCAGCACGCGAGCCCGCCCGACACGAACAACTCAATGGCGTCATCACGTGGCGGCGCCTTCCTGTCCGGTGAGCCTTACGCAATGCGTGGCTACGTCACTCTTCCTTGGGTGCAGCCACGTGCAGTGGCTCCATATTTGATGAGAATGACGCGGCCCAGCGGAGACCCCATTGGAGGATTCTGACCTAACGACCAGCGGCGCTTCTGGTTGGACATTTGGTTACTCAAAGAATCCACCCGGTGCATATAAAAAAGGTCCTGCGGCGTGTCGCGAGCAGTTGACTTATGTGTCGCAGAAGAAAGCTCGGCTCTTCGCGTCTCTAAACTGTCGGCCCCCATGCCGAATTCGTAACGTCTCTGTATATACGCTGAACATAAACCTTGTTAAACTCACCGTCGTCTCGTACACTCGTCTATCAGCTCTGCGCAGAAGCAGTCGTGAGCTGAGAAACCTACGTTATCAAACAGCTGGTGACCTTCCCGGCGGAGTTCGAAGCAGTGGCGCCTTCGTGACCGTGTTGGCGTCACCGTCTTTCGTAACAGTGGTTGCGGCGAGGAGGCTGAAAGGCGAGAAGTAGAAGCTTGCGAACGTGAAGAAGCTGAAAGGCGAGAAGTTCGCGAACGTGAAGAAGTTGAAAGGCGAGAAGTTCGCGACCGTGAAGAAGCTGAAAGGCGAGAAGTTCGCGAACGTGAAGAAGCTGAAAGGTGAGAACGCCGTGAGGAGGCCAAGAGACAGGAGCGCCTTGAGTTGAAACAAATAGAATTGGCAATCCTACAGTGTTCGCAGGTGCCTAGCGCAGCTTCTGCGACAGTTTAGGTCAGTGGTCAGAGAATTAGAGACCAACTGGCGCCGTTCGTAGTAGGCGAGGACATGGCGAAGTATCTCGTCAAGTTTGAACACGTCTGTGAGCGAAAAGCTTTGGAGCGGTCTCTTTGGGCGCAGAACCTGTTCGCTCTTCTTCCCGGCGAAGTGTCCGACGCGATAACTTGATTGTCGAGGGAAGCGTTTGAGAGCTATGACGAGGTAAAGGAAGTGCTCTTGAGACGTTATAAGTTATCACCCGAGGCTTTCCGGCAAATGTTCCGATATGCTAAAAGGGGGAATGAGTCACACGTTGACTTTGCGTTTCGTCTTAAAGCCGATTTAATTGAATGGCTCAAAAGCGAAGGTGTTTATGACGACCGCGATAAAGTGGTAGAATGATTGCATTGGAGCAATTCTACCGCTGCATCGAGAAGGATGTCAAGTTTTGGCTGCAGGACAAACTTTGTGAAGTACAGCTAAACAAGGCAGCAGAGTTAGCTGAGGAGTATTACACTCGCCGAAAGTTGCATGGCAGGGCAGTGCGCGTTGAAAAGAATGAAAGGAAAGAGGGCTCTTCAAAGAACCCTGATCAACGGAAACCCGCTCCACACCGTAATTTAAAGAGGGACCCGTCTTTTACGAAGGACACTGTAGGGGAAGGGCCAACGGAAGTGAAGAAATCGAGTGAGGTTCCTAAACAACGCGCTGATACTACACGGGCATTTGAATCATGGAAGCCGCTAATCTGATACAACTGCAAAAAGGAAGAGCACATCGCGATAAACTGTAAGCAAAAGTTTGCTTTTGCAACAATCCGAGAATCGGAAAAGAACATGCCGTTGTTAGGGCCGTATCTCCAAGAAATTAGTGTGAATGGGAAAACGTGTCGAGCACTTCGAGACTCAGCG